ATTATGTAAGTCGTCTAGCAACGACCTCCGCCCGGCCGTCGTGTGGAATTTTTTTTTATTTTCCGAAGCTATAACGCTTAATAGGTGTTTAATGTGTCGATATGAGTCAGAAATGTATTACGCTTGTGAAATGAGATTTAATCAGAAATGATCCTGTATAGGTATATTTTGTCCTGACAAACAGTACAGTATATACACTGAGCAGCTCTCAGCTATTTTTGAACGACTAATCAACTACTGTCATCCAAAATACCCAGAACTCACCACATGGAGGTGACTGCTCCTCGAGTTCCAGTGGCATTGTAAGATCCATGTAGCACCTGTCTAGCCAGCAATTTACAGATTTGGGTGTAAGCTGAACCTGCCTAGCATGGGCCAGTAGGCTTGCTGTCGTGTTCCTTCATTCTTGCGTTCTTGTGAGTGGTTGAAAAGCAGAACCAGGATCCAAGACTCCATCACAAATAGGAGAGTACATACATGACAAGAGCTCAGAGTACGACTGTAATCAGATTGAGTACAGGTGGTGCTGGGACGTCACCCGCCAGGGACACATGAAGGACAAAAGAGACGACCATATATAAAATTTCCTTGGGAACTGGTTATGGTGTGTGATGAGTCGAGCTGCTAGTCCACCTTTTTTGTATGTATGTTTTTATGTGTGACCTAATTCATGTCTGCATAAATAACTCATTACGACTGTGACCAGACATAAACATGTAAATTAGTTCATTACCACTGTAACTTGTTCAGCTGTTAAGGGCTTTGCGGCCCAGTCCCTGGACCCATTATATACCTTTGTAATCTTTTGACTACCACCTACAGAATGGATATGGAGTGCATAGTAAATATATTAAATTAACTAACTGTCTACTTTCGGTTCTGTTTATGTGTGACGGGACTAGAGACAAGCTCTAATATGAATTGTTTACATATGTAGTCGATTCACACACAATATATAATAAAATTGACTACATTAATATCGTTATTATCAAGGCACTAATGGGACACTCTCGATTTTGTTATATTTATAGATTAAAGAAGACAATTTTCTGTTTCTTATTCATAAGCCGAAAACTATTTAGGAGTGGATTATTATTATTATTATTATTATTATTATTATTATTATTATTATTATTATTATTATCATTATTATTATTATTATTATTATTATTATTATTATTATTATTATTATAAAATGCGTTGTTGAATCTGAAGTTACTACAGCAGATCAAGTGAGATTATGAATGTTGTATAGAGTTGAGAGTAGCAGCCATGACTTGTTCAAGAACCATACAACTTGCACTTTTAAGTTGTGTAATGCGGCACACCAGAGGTTGTGACATGTGTGTGTATATACATGTGTACTCACCTATTTACTCACCTATTTGTGGTTGCAGGGGTCGATTCATAGCTCCTGGCCCCGCCTCTTCACTGATTGCTACTAGGTCCTCTCTCTCCCTGCTCCATGAGCTTTATCATACCTCCCCTTAAAACTATGTATGGTTCCCGCCTCCACTACTTCACTTTCTAGGCTATTCCACGGCTTGACTACTCTATGACTGAAGAAATACTTC